AGATTTTGTAGAGATCCTTTCTGATAACAGATTCTTAAGTACCTTACATGATTTAGTGAACTAAACCTGACTATAGTCTAGGTCTATTTCACAGTTAAGGAAATGAGGATAACAAAAACCATAATTTTCAAAAAAAATACATCCACCAAAGTCAAGATGGAATGAGATTTCAGATCATTTGGTTTCCCATCCTATCCTTTAACTACAATATGCTCATTCTTCTGCTTAAAAACAGTTACAAAAAAAAATTACTGTAATTATTTATAATAGGTGTAAAAATCATTTTGAATTAAAAMACATTTTTAAAAACAAAAATCTGCTCAAATTTTTATCAGTTGCATATTATTACAGTTTAGCAACTACAGTTTCTTTGCTATCACTTTTGTAGAATGTCTGTCATTTATAGCAATCTGGCCTGGTTATTTTCTCAATATAAWTGCAAAGAAAACAAGAAGACAAAACCTGTCTTGCAATGTACATGGACATGCCATTTGAAGACATTCCACTGGGAACAGAATCTTGATCAAAATGCAGCTGATGGATGACTCAAATCACGATGCTGCACAGAATAACTGGTTCTTTATCAAAACCACCTTTGAAGCAGAGATACCTATCTTCTATATTAACTTCCCTGGACAACAAATTCTCCTGCTGTTGTCCAAGGATCACACCTGAGTCATAAAACTGGAACATTAAAAAGATCTTTATATCCGAATTCTAATTTTATTAGAAACTTTGCCTGAATTTCCCTCAGATGTTTAAAAGATATTATTTCATATTCATATCCATTTCATTCTAATACTATTTCATAAGGGAAGAAAAAAAATCTTACAATTCAAAAACATCCCATAGCAGTATATAATCTTTGCTGTTGATAGGAGATATGATCTTGTATTCACAATAACAAACACCAAATCTTAAAACATATCACTGTTCTCATTTCCTCAAAAGAACAGTCTTGCTGTTGACTTCATAGATTCATTTTGTTTGACTGATATTCATTCTTTCACATAGCTGCGGAGATTTTGCTGCACCATAACCCAGTCCTGTCTTCAGGAAGAGAGGGAAATCCAACATAAACTTCTTGGCATGTGCAGCACAGTTGGTAGGTACTCTGCTGCTCTGGACAATAGTGTCTCTAGGAAACTCTAAGGAAGCAGCTCACAGCAGAGCTGTGATACATTGGATCAATGGATACATTTTTTCCCAATCTTACAACTAATTCTACCCAGAAATATTTTCCCTATCTAGGGAAAGCCCTATGCATGTGACTTGGCAATTTAAGTGTTGTTGGAACAAGTTCAAGAGATGTAAGTGTAAAGTTTTACGCCTGTCCATGCATGTCATCCCTAATCTCAGCTTTTAAAAATCTAGTAAAGAAGTGGAAAGTGGAGTGGAGTGGACTGGAAAAAAAATAATGAATAAATACACAGTAGAATGAGTACAAACTCATGCAAAATTTAAAATACATGTATACACAGGGTCCTTTAAATTCATCCGTAAAATGCATTTTTTTTTTAAATAAATTGATAATATGATGTTGAGAGACATTTTTAAAAGAATCATTAGATTTTTCTTTTCTCAAATTACTCCCATTTTACCACAAAGCCCAGGGAGAATAGTAAGACTGAAACATTGTTATACGTTATTCAGATGAGGTCACAGATGAATAGCAAGCTGACAAGTCTTTAATGTAAATTCATAATATTCTTATGTTGAATAACTTTCTCAATGTATATAAAAGGAAAATTACACTCAAAAGAAAGTGATTTGTCTAAAAGTATAAATACTGAGAAAAGAATTTCTTATTTTTTTCTAAAAATATTTTAATTAGATTTTAAACTACTTACATTAGAAATTCAAATAGAAAAATAATTTTATTTGTATAAGATAGCTATCATTAAAGCACAGTGAAATATCAGGGCCAATTAATCATCTCTATAATACAACAGGCTGCACTGCTTATGTCACAGACTTGCTATTGCAGAGCCGTGAAAATATGACATTTGCTTAAAATGTTTCTGCAAAGAGCAAGACATCACAGACCTGAATTTCTCAACAGAAGGATGCAGGAATTAATCTTTACAGCATGTGGACTACAGATACTTAAGCAAGTACGAATTTGCTATGAGCTTCAGGTTGACATGCTGTACACACACTGGTTTATAAATAATATTTTAAAAGACATTACGACATCACAAAAACACTCTCTATTTTCACATAATACCTGCAAAAATTTAAAAAGGCACAGAAAATCAGGAGGAAACAAAACTATAAGCTTATGTACATTTCAGGGCCATTTTAAAATTACCTAGGTRAGACTAAGATTGAAAATTAACTTTGCCCTGCTGTTCCACTCCCTGCTGTGAGCAAGTATGCTCCACATACTCCTTCTCAAGGAGTTATAACCTTGAGATCAGGGCCATATATCCTGCAAAGAGTCTAGATAAAGACTCTTTGCAAGACAAGACCACTAGAATAACTTAGTCTCCATTCTCTGGACAAAATTCCACTTATAGCTCCTGCTATCAAACCACTTTGATGTACCTGTCCTCCACCAAGAGATGGACCTAAATTCACAGATTAGTGTACAATGCATGCCTGTATCATTAACACAGCAGCAAGAATTGTAATCAGGTTTTACATGATTGTGCCTAAACACACTTATTCCACAAATCACACAACAGTGAATATTTTAAAAAAGACTTATGAGGTTATCAGTCAGAATTTATTTGCTTTGTTTTTCATCACAACTTTTGTTGTTGATGTTCTGAGAGCATTATCTATAAAGAGTTTAAGAAGTAGATGACATCGGACAAGCAAGGCATAAGAAAAAAGACAAGATGACTCTTGCTGCTCTATTCACCCTGCACATTCCAGCTTTTAGTTTATTTTTTTTCCTGGAAAATGTGGTGTCAGAACAAAAAATTCCTAGTGTTGTCATGCCAGATTTCAGTATGCCCTTGTGGATATAAAAGTGTTCACTTTTATTAATAATTTTATAATGTCTCGAAACTCTGAGAGCCTGTTGAAATCCCATTGAGAGATTTATCATACTAATGCATATTAAATTAGATAACTACAGTTAAGCTTATAAAAGATTAAAATCTGATCATTGTAGCAAAGGCAAAGCTTACAAGGATTGTAAATATGATTGTTAGTCTGTGTATGGAGAAGATGATATATTTAAGGCTCTGAAGAATGAGGCATAGTTTGCAACAGAAATTTCCAACACAAATCAGTTCACAAATGCACTCTGAGAGGTGGAACAGTGAACTGAGCTCCTCCTTGCTGCATGCTGCATTAGTTTGTTCATCAGGATATCATTGCTTTCTTTCTATTGACTCAAACTTTTATACCTGAATGGCATACATTCAATGTCATATAGCAGAATACAGTACTGAATGCAGAGCCTCTTTAAGTCTGTGCAGGAAATTTTAGGTTGGTAAACTTTTAGATATACCATTACTGCATTATTGTAAAAATATAGATATAAATTCTATAGACTTACACAGGATATAAGGATGTACCTTACTTGGTAACCTTCTCATATCTGGCATTATTCTCTGAAGTACAGAGTTCCCTACTTCTTAAAATACTTATGAAGAGTAAAAAAAACAAGTGTAACAAAAGCACATGACACTTCTAACAAAGCTGACTTTCCAAAGGTGCTGGACCACTATAGAGTTCTGAAAGGCACATGGCTTCTATGGAAAGAATTTCCTTAATACTTATTTTAAATACCTGCAGTTAATGGCTTGATTGGAGGAGGACACATCAAAAGTGAACTAAAGGCAGGATAGTTTTTCTTTGATTTTAAAATGGGTTAAAAAGGCTAACAAGAACTTACCAGAATAGTGCAAATGACAGCTTTTCAAATTAAATGATCTCGCACAGACAGAAAGGAGCAACACTGATGAAATTTGATAGCTACAGCCCAAAAGAGGAAAGATTGGAATATTTATAGCCAAAATCCTGATAATAAAATAAAAATCTCTAATATATAAAAGCCTATCAAAGGACAGATATACATAGAAGGCAAATCTACACAGAAGAGATTGCACTACATGCTAAGTTGCTTGCTATGCTAGAAAATACAGAATCACAGAATCACAGAACCACAGAATGGTTAAGGTTGGAACGGACCTCTAGACATCATCTAGTCCAACCCCCTGCTCCATCAGGGTCACCCAGAGCATGGGGCACAGGGCGGCATCCAGGTGGGTTTGGAAGATCTCCAGAGAAGGAGCCTGTTTCAGGGCTTTGTCACCCTCATAGTGAAGAAGGTCTTGCTCACATGCAGATGGAACATCCTGTGTTTCACTTTATATCCATTGCCCCTTGTCCTGTCACTGTCCACCACTGAGAAGCGTTTGACCCCTTCCTCCCTACATTCTCCCCTCAGGTACTTATTTTTATTGATCAAATCTCCTCTCAGCCTTCTCTTCTTCAAGCTAAATAGGCCCAGTTCACTCAGTCTTTCATCATACGAGAGATGTTCCAGTCCCTTAATCATCTTTGTTGCTCTCCGCTGGACCCTCTCTAGAAGCTCCACATCCCTCTGATAATGGGGAACCCAGAACTGCACACAGTACTCCTGGTGTGGCCTTACCAGAGCTGAGGAGAGGGGCAGGATCCCCACCCTTGACCTGCTGGCAACACTCCTCCTGATGCAGGCCAGGATCCCATTGGCCTTCTTGGCCACGAGGGCACACTGCTCACTCATGGTTAACTTGTTGTCAACCAGGACTCCCAAGTCCCTCTCTGCGGAGCTGCTCTCCAGCAGGTCAACCCCTGTTCTTCACTGGTGCCTGGGATTATTCCTCCCCAGGTGTAGGACCCTGCATTTGTTCACCTCATGAGGTTCCTCTCTGCTACCATATTTGTTTAGAAATAACAATGATGCAACTGATAACAGTGCTCTTCTATCAGTGTGCAGTGTCATCTCAATAAATATGAAAGACAAAAAAAAAAAAAACTAGAAAAGAAGAAAAGCTCACCACTTCTTCATGCCTGCATTTTCTCACATTAATTCCATTAATCTGTTATTAAAAAGATAAGAGAGAAAACTTACTCTACATTTCATAAGTACAGATTTCATTATACTTTTTTTAGAAAAACATAAGTAAAAGAACTTGCAATTTTACTTACCTGTAGAATTGCATCGCCTATAAAGAGCAACCCTGAAAGTTCCGCTGAAAACAGAAAGTGCATTTTCACTCACTTGCATTTGCACATATATTTCTACTTCATCTCATATCTTTACACATTTTTAGCCTTTTAAAAATAACAAAAACAAATTTAAAAACTTCTAAATAAAGTAGTTTTTTTAAATATGCAAAATATCAGCAAATAAATGTTGCTATGAAAGAATTATACAACTGAAACATTACTCATGTAGTCTGTAGCATCTTTTATGCTCATATGGTGAAGTATGTGATACTTCAAGTGCTCTTCTAAATAGGAAATGACTGCAGAACTAGCTCCTACTTGAGTTTATGTCTCAAATGAAATTGAGAAATTATTTCTTAGAGACTCTGAGGAATTTATGAAGGACATTTTTTAACTTGCAAGGTTTTTGCCAAATAAACTTGAAGTCCTGCAGTGTTTGAAAAACTCAGTGGAATAAATTTGCACTTTATATGCTGAAGAGCCAAACAGTATTTTATACAACATACTGTATAAAATCACCAACAAAATTGAATTTTATCTTAAAAATATCACGATAATATCTAAGTGGTAAGAGAATTTACAAAATTTATTTCTACAGTTAGAGACCTTAGCTACTCAGTTGTACTACAGAAATATATAATGTAAACATACTTTATAAATACAGAAGGAATAAAACTGAAATAACTGAAGTGCCTTTAAAGAAATTACTAACCCCTAACATGGGAACTAAATAGAAAATGATATGACATTACTTAGTCATAGCATTCCAAAACATCACAGAAAAGACTGACTGGAAAAGTCTGACCTATGACTTGATCCAACAAATTTTCATTTATTTTTATGGATCAGCATCAATATTCACATGATTTTTTTTTTTTTTAGAGACAGATGCAAATTTCATTATTTTTCTTAAGACACTGAGCTTACCTGTACTTATTTTGGGTTTGTATTTATAGGACAAGCATTTTTCTGTGCAGCACTGATTGTAAGAACTGCATTAAGTGCCCCATTACTGTTTAGAGGTCTAAAAAGAGTTGGAAAGCAATTGAAAGGAGGGCAAAACCAAGACTGCAAAGCTCTGAGGCACCAGTCTGGGTTAAACAGCTTTTTCTGTATCCAAAATCCTTAGCACAGCCAGATGGCAGAACACTTGCGTAGTCTCTTTCTATATAAGAAATGTCACTCAGCTCACTTTCTAAAAATCATCAGTATTTTTATTAGGAGCAGTAAATGAGATTATAGCTCAATTAAATATTGTAATTAGAAATAATTTGTCAGGTAGTATAGCAAAAATAATGACAATAATAAAAGAAAACAGTATGCACTTTTGTGTGCTCAATTAAACTTAAGTCCACATTTTTTTCAATTTTTCCTATAGTGCTTGATAACATTTTAATAGCTAGTGTAGGTAATATATGCCACATTATTATCTATTACATTCTTATTTTTATATTGAAAAGGATGGAATTCAAGTGTAGTTACTTATGGTTAAGCATCTTCCTTCCCTTAGGGGCTCATTTTATTTTACTCTATAGCCTCTCTACATACAATTTTCACATTCTGCATTTCAAGGTCAGTCATCAGTTCCCAGTACAGTAAGACTTTCCCGTATTACTCTTTATCTATGTGTGAATTAATACAACATTTTTCATGATGGAAATGATGGAAGTTGTAATCCAGAATTATTGCCTTACAGAAGAAGCAAGATGCCTCCAAGCCTAAGACATTACACGTTTGCCTAATAGGTATATATTTACACAAATATACATAAAAATAAACATCACAGATATTAACAGATATCTTTTCCAGGGAACATACGATGAGCTGCTTAATCATCTTTCTGATACATATTACGTTGTCCCAACAACTTCAAAACATTGCTAATCAAAAAAGTGAAGTTGATAATATCCAGATAAGACAAAAACAAATACAAATAAATACAATTTTTCCTATATATGAATTGCGAGGGTCTGCACAGTTCAGCATCTAATGTGGAAATACCACAGGTTATCAGTGCCATTACTTGCTCTCCTTGAGTACTACCCTGCTAACCAGGGCAAACAGACACATGCTCTTTCCTTTTGTTACTATGCTTACTGTGCTTTAACAGCAAACATTTGAGCTGCTACAGCTTTATGGCAACAACCATTTTAAAATAAGACATTCACAAAATTATACATTTTAGAATCATATAAAATTGTAAATGAACTTTATTATCAAAATACTTTTCTAGTTTTTCCTTAAAATAATACTGTACAGCTTTTTTTTTTTTTTTCCAATGGATATATCTGAAGATCATTTAAAAACATTTTAAACGTAACTTTTGTACTTTACTGAGAATATTTCTAAGTAAAAGAGAGTTCAGCATGTCATAGATATCCAAAGTATATCAAAACTTAATGCATCACTACTTTAAGAAAGACGCCAAAACTTGGTCTACTAATCCAACACCCACCTCTTTGTTCTTTGGAAATCTTAGAAATGACCACTGGAATATTATGTTCTGCTCCACCCTGAAAGTAGAATAAATGAGTTTCATCAGTCACTGAAAATATTTTGTTCTTAAAATTATGATTTATCCTTTCATAACTGAAATTTTCAGAGAGATTAAAGAAATACATCTGATTCTGTGTTTTCCTTCTTTTTTTAGGAATAAAATATTTAATTGTAATTAATTCCTTTTTGTCTCCTTATTGTGCTTTCATCTGATATCATTAGCTCAGGAAATCAATTGAACAACGTCCAAAACTTTCAAGAATTGAAGAAAGAATATGTCAGTTTCTGCAAATCCTGCATAACAATATGAGAAACCATAAAGGCAAAATGGATATCACATTACAACAGAAACCACTGTGATAACTTAGTTTTTATGCTGGCAAGACACAGGTAAACAAAAGACCAAGGCAAGACTTCCATCTTAAAGCAGTTTTTATTCTTCTCTCTGTCATACATGCACAAAGATTGAACAAAGTAGTGGGATAAGTAATAAGAATCAGAAAAGGAAGCATTAAGAAACAGAACAGTAGGTGTTCAGTATTTGGGGCAAAGAAAGGAAAGATGGACCATAATGCAAAAGATCAACAGCAACTCAGTGTTGTTTCTTTCATTTTTTTCCTTTTGTGATTATAAACTTCCATACTCTTCAGAATAAAACATCAAAGAGAAACCTAAACTAAAAGGGAACTAAACATACAGACACAAGGATGAATGCATTGAGACTCAAATACACTTTTTCTGAAGATAAGCATCAAAATGCAAGTTTGAATTTTACCTGTACATATTTGGATCAACAGAAATGACTGCCACACTGCAATTTGGCTTAGAATGTTCGTTAAGCATTTGTTTATTCTTCTTCTGCTGCCAGACTTTTTGTTAGAAATCATAGCCTTCTAATATCTAAACATTTCCGTTTTCATGTGTGGAATGGACCAATTTTGAATTTTTTTTATGGTCTAAGGAATATACATATCCATTTATCCATTCCCCATGAAACAAATACTTGCTTGAAACTGAAGAGACTTCTGCATGAAAAAGCTATTTCTGTCACAGAACAAAGAACAAGAAAATCACAAAAAAGAATGTCTTTCTCTGTCTCCCTCCTTCCGAAGAAAGGAAGAATGCATCACCTGCACAATGGCAAATGTGTCCTAGAACCCAAATTTCCTATGAAATTGCATAATTTCAAATGGAATTAGACTTCCGTTTGGTACTGGCTCTCAATGAAAATGGTCCTAAAAACGCTGAGTAAGTAGTGATTGCATGGATGTTACAATTGCATACTTATAAGAAAATCGGCATTGTATAAGTGCAGTGTTTGTATGTGAAGACAATATGTCTACATTTTAGAGAAGTATTCATATTGAGAAGCTCTGACGGGTAAAAATCTCTGAGGATTTTCATCAGAGGAAAAGCAGCAGCACTTCAGATTTGAGCTCACTGAGATTATAAGACCCATCACACTTCCTTCAAGGATTTCCTAAGCTACATGTACATTTAATTTCTCTTTATCTTCTAAAATAAACAGAAAATAAAAAAAAAAAACAAGCAAACAACAACAACAACAACAAAAATCTCTGTGCCAGTTCTTCCTCTAAGCCTCCAATAAACTGCGCAAAGATTACACCATTTGAAACATTTAAAGCTAAGACAAGGAGGGCAAGGTAAAAAGCTCAACATAACCAACACAAGTCTATCCCTCATTAGATTAAATTCTCTAAGTCCCTAAATTCAGCTTTCCTGTAAACAGAGATATTACTGCTATTCTTAAACCAGTCAGCAAACCACACTAGCTTGTTTATTCTTCACTCATTAGGTTTATCTAAATCCAGCCATATAGGAAATTTCAGGAATTAACTAGCAATGCTCTACCGAAGAAAATGAATGCCTCTCATTGTAGCTGGCCACTGGTATGGAGCATTCCCTTTAAATTATTCAAAGGTCAAAATTAGTAGTCTAAGAAACAAAAGTCCAAATGGAGAAAGAGAAAACAGCTGGCCAGCTCTCTACAACCAGTCATCTTGAACCATTTACTGCTGTAAATTGAAAGATCTGTATTTTGATAACTTGTTGATCAATACTACAATTGATACTTCGACATGTGTTTTGCATTCTTTAAAATGACCCTCTGTCTTACAGAATAAAAAGTGAATGGATGTCTAATTTCTCATTTTATTGGCTCAGGAAATACTCCAGAAAGCTCTGGGAACTGTAGCTACTTTTCCATTGTTAACAGTTGTCCTCCATCTTCTTTGGACATACATTTATATCCCCAGATCATAGAGTGGGATGAAAAGCTATCAATTAATGGCATCTATGGATAATGGCTCAGCCCTCTAAGATAAGTCTTTGTAGTGTGTACAAGTCAGATAAGTCAGATGGGAGCATAAACTGTTCAAATATTTGCCTGGAAAAAAGTGTAGCCCCACTCCTGTAGAGATGTCTCTATGCTAGACCAGGTAGACCAAACTTTAACCATGAGGAGCTGTTCCCAGCTCACAGTCCTGGACTTTGGCCAAGACTTTTAAGGTCTGAAGGCTTTACCTCCTTTTGGAGTGTCAAACCATACACTTTGAAAGAGTTTTTCTTACTGCAATTTTTTATACATGGAAGGCTTTTATTCAAAAGTTTTAGAAATAAAAAAAAAAACACTTTTCTTGACAAGTGCTGTTTTATGTTTCACTCCATCCATAATCAGAATGTCACTGTTCCTTGTTAGAAAAGAGACAGAGGACATCTATAAAAAAATTAGATCCATGGTGTTGCAGTAAACAGGGAATATTATGTGGAACATGCAGAAAGTTCAATAGCCCATATTAGCTGAATATACTTCATTCTTACTATCTGTTAAATTACATGTATATTACTTATATGTAAAAGAAGGATATCACAGGATGATATCTTATAAAGATATTGTTATAAAAATGCTAAAAGGCAACATCTGTTTCCCTGACTAAAATGTGTTTGTTTTTTTAGCTTTAAGGTCTATTGATGCACATGTCTATGTGGATAAACTCTTAATCTTGAAGTGGTCAACTTTATACACATTGCCTATTGGGAAAAGTCCTGCTCTGCACTCAGGAACTGTCTCAGGGAATGATAGCTGGCATAAACCAAAAGCTGTGTCAAGAATTATGCTTGTGTATTAAACAATACAATTCCAATATCCATTGTTATCTGTCCCTGTTTAAACTTTTCTGGTCCAGTTTAATCAAATAGTATAGCAGGAAAAAAAAAAAAAAGTTACTTCCCAAATATATCCAACACTGACTAACGCTGAACACTGATATTAGTCCTATGGTGCACATGCCTGATTTATAGATATTTTTCCACGGAGTCAGACTCTGAAAAGTCAAACCGAATCTCAGCAGATCTGTGATGCTGTTCTTCATATAAAGAGCAATCAAACAAAGACAAGTAGATGGCACTGTACAGAGTCCTGGGAGCCAGAGGCCAGATTGTAACAGCAAAGCTTAATTTATATAATGAACTATCAATTTTATTGCCTGTTTCTGCAAGAATGCTACACTTGCTCCAGTTATTAGGCAACACAATGTTCTTTCAAAAGCGATACACTTAGCAGCTTCTTGTGTCAAATCACCACATCTCAAACTTGTCAGAGATTTGATATTTTTCTGAAATTACACTACATTCATCAATTTCATCCATGACTATTCTTTTGCAATCTGGTTTATTAATGTTATTAATGATATTAATTGATTGCAATCATTTTGAAAGGGCTTGATTCTGGATCTGGGGTAAAATTCAGTCTCACAAGTTTTTAACACAGCTTATCATTCCTACTACACTTGGACTAGCTAGATGATGATGCCTAAGAAGAGACGTCAACTCATAGAAAATTGGGGATATTCAACTCATAGGATAATTGGGGATTCTCCTTCTGGAATTATTAACTTTCTGTACTCCTGCTCTTCAGAAAGAAATCTAATTGTAAAAATCTGGAATAACTAGGGTAACAAAAGATTCCTCCAAGAATCTAAACAAGAGAAATTGTGAAATTTCTGATAGTAGATGTACATTTAATTTAGCAAAAAAAAAAAAAAAANAAAAAAAAAAAAAAAAGAAAAAAAAAAGCATTAAAATAAAAAGCATTAAAATATCCCAGAGCTGAATGCCTAAATTAGGCAAATTCATATTGAAAGACTGCAAATAATTTTAAATGAGGGCCATTAATCACTAGGACATTTTACTGTGTATAACTCGTATCTTGGATAAACTGCCTCCTTTGAAATGCACCTCTGCCAGCGAATGCAGCTCTGCCAGAATATAAGCACTCAGATAACTCTCATCCTTAAATGATCTGAGAGATCTACAACACAAAAAGTACTATATGAGAAGTTTTAGAAAAAAAATACTGAAAGTAGGAGAAATGACTAAGTCACCTCCTTTAAAAAAAATACAGAATGTTCACAGTAGTAGCAATAGTCACAGAGCATCTATAGTTTTTAGCAGTGCTGGTGTCTGAGTAAGGGGGATCAGACTAGAAATTCCTTTTTAGATTGAGTTCACAATCTGAAAAATACATACTTTATACATTGGCATTTCCTTCGCAGAACTCATTTTTTTTGAAAGCAATGAGTATGCTCTGAAACTGCAAGTGATTTAAGTAATTTAATGAATGACTCTCTCCTCTGTCTCTTTAATTTATATTTCCCGATGATATTTTATTTGCCACAATTTACCCAATACTTAAAAAATAGTTATCTGCAGTTTTTCCCAGATTTTTTACACTAAAAGATAACTCATTGTACTGTATAAATAAAGAATTCGTTTTACTCATGGAATTTGCTTTTCAAACATAAAAAATTCTTAATAGCAACTGGTTACAAGTTACTATAACCATTTACTTCTTATTACTAGCTAAACACAACTTCATTAGCCCATATATTTTATCTTACAGTCACTTTATCACCTACAGTGACATTGCAAGGAAACAACTTGTGTACTGTTGACTACATTCCTGAAAAACTTTGGCCATAGTATTGTAAGTTTACCTTGAATAGAGGTCTTCAGTGGGGCACAAGATAAAAAGAGCATATCATAAAAGATATGGTAGCAAACCATATTTTAAGAACTAACATTTCTATTCAGCAATATTCTTATCAATGACAACACAAAAGCACATTAAACTCTCTTCAGAGTCATTTCTTATAAGGTGAGTACTAGCAGATGTTCACAGGAAATCTATACTTTTACTTCACATGCATAATTTAAAGCTCTTTGCATTCAGGTGAAGTATACATGACTTTTCCCATAGCTATCTTTAGGCTGAAGAATACTGTTTTTAGAAGAAAGATAAAATTAATGCTGTGTTTTCTATCCTGAGATTCAAAGCTACAGGAAAGTTTTCAAAGTCATGGCAATATAGTCTCTTAGAATGGTTATAATGACAAAAATGTTTAATTTTCCCTTTCTCTCTCCATCCCTCTTTCTCTTAAAAAGGATTACCTACACTTCTGTATGTTCTTAAATCATCCTCAGAAAAGTATAGTAATGGAGTTGTCTGGAGTTGTCTGATCTCAAAAGCAAAATAAACAATATGGGAAAGGAATATGACTTTCTGTCCTATTAATGAATTACAGTGAATTAATGTGATATTCTTTGTAGGAAAATGGATGATGAATTTACTGACTGTTCCATGTGCCTGGCACGTTAATTTAGCGTTCATTAATAACAACGTAAATTAGAGTGCTGTTGAACAAAAGAACAGTCTGTGCAGTTGCAAACCCTTTTTAGGTCTTACATCAAAACTTATTACAGAGTTGCTCAGATTGAATCTTAAGGGGATGCTTTTTTCACTGTCTTCTATTTCATGAGGCAGTACAGTTGCTGGTTGCCCTATTGTAACAGTACCTAAGTTTCTAGAAAATGTCTGCTTTATTTTTTTTTAGTCCTCTGAAATACAATTTCATTAACATTTTATCATTAAAATTAAAAATCATTAAAAATATACAAAGACTTTCTTTGTGTAACCGACAAAAATATTACCTTTATACTTAATCCAAATCCTCCTACAGTTTGTCTTCTAATTGTTACTGTTCTTTCCTGAAAAAAAGAGAAGTTAAATCAAAAAAGTTACATTTAATATTTTCTGGTGTAACATCAACCTTCACACTAGGATGTTTCTATGTCATCATTTTACATCATTTTTTCTTATTATAATAAGAAAACATTTCAACTTGTAAATTCTCAAATGATAAAATTCCAAAAATATCTGTGTTGCAGGAGTAAAAGATGAAGTCTGGAGGAAAGTTAGAGCTTCTGCCTCAGACAAAAAAAAATCATGTGTTTAATTCATACCTTACACTTGCAATCAATAAGAACAGATTTGTAGAGTTAAGCAATCTGTGCCAAACTCAGCATCCACAACTCAGACATTTCAGGGGTCTTAGAATGGTCCCATGGACACAAAATGCACTAGAGGCTGCATTCCCTCAGCTGTACAATTTGTAGTTTAGTTTCATCCAAAAGGAATAGAGCTTGTGTACTTCAAAACCACTCAGTGATGTGAATCAAAGCATAAGTGCAGATAAGACATAAATTAATTTCAAAGTACATTCCTGATCCAAATTTAAAGGCTAATACAAACGCAGCCACTATTTAACCTAGTAGCTATGGCTTAGCAAATTGTAACAGATGATTTAAAGGGTGTTACGGACAGTATTATTTAAGGCATCCCATTTTTTCCTTTTATTGCTCATTCTTAAAATTTCTTATATAAACCTCATACGCTAGGATATTGACTAACATTAAAGGAAAACTAACATTAAACAAAAGATTTTCTTTAGCCTTCTTTAGTTGACTTTATTCTCAAGGATCACTTAGTATCAGTCAATTTAGTCAACAGCAAAAAATAAACTAGCACCAAATATACATCTGTATGCAGATGAACACATACAGAATATACATACAGAATATACATACATCATTTTTATGCCCTCTTCAAATTGTCTGTTTTTTTAAACTCACTTTGCTATATATATAAATAAATGTACATAACACAAGTGTGAACATGTATTTTATCTGAATATAGACTCTCACCTCACATTTCAACCCAATCATCATGGATTACTAGTATCAATCAGATTTGCTCAGACTACAGAACACATATTCTTTAGCACATTAAAGGTAGACTATAATTTGGTCTTTATGGCTGTCAAGTAGTGTTAAAAGCATAAAGCATTCTTCAGTCTTGTGTCAGATATATCCTAGTAACAGAATTTTTGCAAGCCCCTCAGAGCAGTTATAAACTTCCTCACGTGCAGGAAGGAAAAGGAGGATGGAGGGCAACCATATAACAGTCCTGAAAAACTGATATTGCCATTTTGGGGAAAGAATGCAGTTTTCTTTCTTTCTTTCTCATATTTGTGATAAATATGAATTGTGTTAGCGCGGAAAGAGCAAGCATAAACTTGTTCAGTGATTTTGATGGCAAGGCAAAGAGTATTGCCTTATAAGTGACTCTATTTCTTCTTACAGGATGATATTTCTATGGAAGAGCTATGCAATTTTGTTGTTAGACAGAAACATGCCCAAGTTTTTTTAATTATTTTTATCAAAAATTATATTATCATATGATTTTATATTTAAAACTATATATATAGTTATATTTTATATGTAGTTCTATATATTTATATTATTCTCTATATTTATGTTTAGTTATATTATACTTCTATAAATTATATATATATATATGTTATAGTTCTATAAAAAATATATTTTCATATTGAGGGTGGTAACCAGTGATGCGGAGTCCAGTTGGAGGCCTGTAGCTAGTGCTGTCCCCCAGGGATCGGTCCTCGGTCCGGTCCTGTTCAACTTATTCATTAATGACCTGGATGAAGGGATGGAGTGCTCCCTCAGCAAGTTTGCTGATGATATCAAACTGGGAGGAGTAGCTGATAGCCCTGAGGGCTGTGCTGCCATCCAGAGGGACCTGGACAGACTGGACGACTGGGCGGTGAGAAACCTCATGAAGTTCAACAGGGGCAAGTGCAGGGTGCTGCACTTGGGGAGGAATAACCTCAGACACCAGTACAGATTAGGGGTTGACCTGCTGGAGAGCAGCCCCGCAGAGAGGGACCTGGGTGTCATGGTGGATGACAAGATGACCATGAGGCAGCAGTGTGCCCTGGTGGCCAAGAAGGCCAATGGGATCCTGGGGTACATCAAGAAGAGTGTCTCCAGCAGGTCGAGGGAGGTGATCATCCCCCTCTACACAGCCCTGGTGAGGCCACATCTGCAATATTTTGTCCAGTTCTGGGCTCCCCACTACAAGAGGGTTGTGGAGCTGCTGGAGAGAGTCCAGCGCAGGGCTACGAGCATGATCAGGGACCTGGAACAGGGGCCTTAGAGGAAAGGTTGAGAGAGCTGGGTCTGTTCTGCCTGGAGAAGAGGAGGCTGAGGGGGGACCTCATCAGTGTGTACAAATACCTCCTGAGGAGGAGGGGCCGGCCTCTTTTCAGTGGTGGCCAGAGGAAATAGCTACAAACTGAAGCACCAAAAGTTCCACAGGAACTTAAGAAAACATTTCTTCACTGTGAGGGTGACAGAGCCCTGGAACAGGCTGCCCAGAGAGGTTGTGGAGTCTCCTTCTTTGGAGATCTTTAAAACCCGCTTGGATGCAGCCCTGTGCCACATGCACTAGGTGACCCTTCCTGTGCTGGGAAGTTGGACTAGATGACGTCTGGAGGTCCTTTCCAACGTTAAGCATTCTATGATTCTATGATATTTTTTACCCACAAATGAATTAATAGCATGGCAGTAGAGAAATGCACAGCTAAGGTGATCCATCACTGTGCCAAGATGATCAGCAAGACCGAGTCTTCTTTGCTCTCCAGGAGATGGACAAAAGTTTTCTCTAAGCGCAGTGTGTGGCCTGAGGTGCAATATATGTGCAAACTGAATCCAATTTCTGATCACGTTACTTTTACTATGAACGTAACTTTTAGAAGGTTTGAATTGAGAGCCATCAAAAACTTCCCTTCCAGCTCCAGTCTCTGATAAATGTGTAGCTAAGAACTGAAGCTTGACAGGAAATATATTCTAATGTATTATTTTATTCATTTTAAAATTGGAAACACTGGTGTTATTAAGAAACTGTTTAAACACAACAGTCTTAAAGTAAAGTGTCTTGATAATATTAAATTAACCATGAATGGAAGAAAGAATAACATACTGCAATGAAATTTGAAGAGAAGTAAATATGCATTAGTGAAGAGCATAAATCTTCATTAGAATTTGTAGTCCATTACACACTACTAGTACCTACAAATTAAACAGTTCTATCTGAATTTATTCTAAGCTAAAGCTATGCTTTTAGAAAATCTGGTAGAAGGTTGTCCTGCAAAATAACATTTTAAAAATTAACATTTTTTTTTTCACACAAACACACATGTAAAATGTCAAAAAGATATTCTGTCTTTCACTTAAGCTAAGACAGAATCATGCAAAGTTTGATTTGGACCATCTAACAGGAAAATTGGAAATAATTAAATCTGAACCTGAATTACAATTTAGAAGAAGAAATGTAGGCTTCAAAAATATCTTGCCAGTATTTATTTATATTTATATATTGTCAGTATTGCAGATTATTAAACAGACAAAATTGTGCCAAAAATAATTAAATGGGACAAATGAAATCAAGATACTGTCGTTTTCCAGTGCAGCGTATTTTATCACAGGATTTCTAATGATGCATATATCTATTTTTTTTTCTAGGATACATTCTAGCTTCACCCAGAGTGTATATTAAATATTACTCATCTGGACTGAACTTACCAGTTACTGAACTGTTTTGAACTTTAAGAATATACTTAAAATTAAGACTACTCTAGCTAGGTTTTACCTATAATTAAGACATTATATCATATTTAACCAAATGACAATAAAACACACTTCTCTGACCTAATGAAGGAATATATTACTTTGGCATATCCAAAATACTGAAATATTTTTTGCCACAGAACATCTATGAATTAAAAAACCCCCAACCATTTATAATCTTCTAAACTTATAAATCATATGTGTTATATATTCATTGGTAACCTATAATGAATAATCTATGAATACTAAACTCAAACAAATAAGACAGTGAAGCGGCTTCTCCAGACTGTTAGAAGAATCACACACTTCATACTTCTAGAATCTTTGCTCAGGATCAGCTCCTAGCTCTGCTCAGTAACTCTTTTAACCAAAAAATTATAGGAAAAAAATAGGACTCATCTAAGCAAAGTTAAGACATCTAAAATTTATGCATTGGTCAAGCTTAAGTTTGCTAGCTTGCAGTAGACAAAAATAAATATCCTAAATTCAAGTAAGTCATTGGTGCCTTCCTTAGACGATAAATATCTTCTCACACTGTGTATGCTTTTCACTGAATACAGAGCCAAGATGTTAAATATATCCTTGGAAAGATGAATCTTACCTAAATGTCACTGTCAGAAGAGTGATCTCTTCACTTATGTAGGTAGTATTGTATTAATATTGTATATTGAGTGCAAACTCAATACACTGAATAGATTTTGCAGCTTCCAAAAGCAACCTCATCTCTGAGTTCACAAAAAAAAAGTCATTCCAATGAAAAATTACTTGATACAATAACCAAATAAAACATCTCGTGATGTTGTAATCTCATTATTACATTTTTAACCACATTACCACATCTTTTTAAATAGAGGAGAAAATAGAACAAGATTCAAAGGAGTATTTTAGAAGCTGCTTCCTGGAAGACAATAAAAGCAGTTATCATTTTATTGAAATGCTCAAAGCTGTGGACAAGTTGTCATTATTCTCTATGCCTCAAACTCAGAAAATTCTTCATCCACTAAACAGATGTTCACTGACTGTGAGACAAAGCTAAAAGTGTTGCCAAAAAAAGAAAAAGCATTATTTTATAGGTTTTTATTAAAATTTATTAAAATTTCTGTATAAATATGCATTTAGCTTTATTGGGATCACAGACATCATCATAAATAAGATACAAGTAAAAAATGACTATGTGAGAATATAAAAAAATAATGAAGGAGGGAAAATACTGGACCTTA